TGGTGCTGGGGATTGAACCGCGGTCCCTGTGCTTTGCTAAGCTTGTTCTAAGTAGGTGCTTTAGACCACTGAGCCATCTCACCAGCCCAGAAGTAGCTATTAAAGTTTTCTTTTTCTCTCTCTCTCTCTTTTTTTTTTTTTTTTGGCACCCCGGGGATTGGGTCCGGGGCTTTGCACACTGGAAGTCAGCTTAAGCCACATCCCCAGTCCTAGATCAGAACTCATGTTTGCGCAGGTGGCGGTGGCAATGGGTTTTTTATTTTTTATTTTTATTTATTTTGTGGAACTGGGGATTGAACTCAGGCCCTTGCGCTTGCCAGGGAGGCACTTATTCCACTGAGCCATCTCCCAGGCCTCTTCAGGGTTCCCCCTGTCCCACCGGTCTGTGTAAGTAAATGGCACTAATAAAAACTTCGACTAGTAGAAAGCACCCCCATCCTCTGCCATAATGGAATCCAGCTGTTCATATACACCAGCATTTTTTTTTTTTAAAGTGCTGCAGTGGTTTCACTAAATCGCTATTGTCCAATTTGGTATCCTCCTGCCTCAGCCTCCCTGTGTGTTGCCCTTAGAGGTGTATGCTAGGCTAACAGCAACTGTTTTTTTTTTTTTTTTTATTGGCTGGCTCAGAATGCCTTCAGGGCATGTTAGGCTGGCTGCAGTTGTGGGGATTGAACCACAGCAACCTGAGGCTGACTGCTTTTTATTTATTTATTTGTTTTATTTATTTATTTATTGCGGAACTGGGGATTGAATTCAGGTCCTTGCACTTGCCAGGGAAGCACTTATTCCACTGAGCCATCTCCCTTGCCCCAAAAAACTCTTTTTTTTTTTTTTTCTTTTGTGGTACTGGGGATTGAACTCATGACCTTGAACTTGCCAGGCAAGCACTTATTATACTGAGCTATCTCCCCATCCTCTGACTGCTTTGTTGAAGCAGCCACTGAAACAACTGAGCTAAGGGGCAGCCCCCTCCCTTTTTTAAAACCTTGTTTGAAACTAGCCCACATGCTATATACCAAACTAGAAGGCTGGGAGGCCAGCTTCAGCATTCTTTTCCTCCTTTAGGACCACCAAGACCAGTGTTCAGATCTGACGGGAAAGGGAGCTGGAGGGCGCAACTGTTAATGATCTCAGTTCTTTTTTGTTTGTTTTGAGACAAGTTCGGGCAATGTAATTCAGGCTGGTCTAGTCTCAAACTTGGCGATGCTTCTGCCTCAGCCTGCTAGTGTTATAGGCGTGCGCAGTCCCACCTGGTGAGCTCCTCATATCGTATAGTCAGGTTGGAGACTCCCAGGAGCGGAAGTCCTTGGCCAGGCATGTCCAGGGTGCACTTGGCAGTCGGGTCCTAGGACCTGGTGGACGGGCTGAGGCTCATTCGAAAGGTCTTCAGCAGGAGATTATTTGCACAGAAAAGACCTGGAAATTCTTTTTTTTTTTTTTTTTCTTTTTTCTTTTCCAGAACTGGGGGTTGAACTCAGGCTTTTGAGCTTGCCAGGCAAGCACTTATCCTACTGAGCTATCTCCCCAGCCCCAAGATCTGGAAATTAATTGTCCATTCGGAGGCGCTGGCCTAGTCCAATCAAAGAGGACGCCATCCCAAGCGTTGTCCAATCAGAGATTGGGGTGTGGTGTCGCCACCCCAAAACTCAAGTCTGGAGCTGGTGGTTGACAGCGTGGGCTGGGGTGGGATGCCCCGGGGTTCCATCTGCCAGGTATCCTGGGCTGAGGACAGGCAGGGACTAGAGTAGGCAGGCAGCTGGGTGGTGAAGGGGAGAGGGGCCAGTTTGGGGAGAAGTAAAGGGAGTCTAGGGAGATGAGTAAAGCTGGGGGAGGGGCTATGCTGGGGATATGGCCCAACCGGGCGGGGTGGGGTAGTATTGGAGAAAGTCCAGAGGCTTCCAGGGCTCTGACAGCAATGGAGGTGACTTGTGTTGGATTTGTTAACATCAAATCCCATCAAATCCAGAGTTAGGACTTTGTTCAGAAAGACTGTTGCAGCCCTGTGTAGTGGTGCACCAGTGCTTGGGATGATGAGGTAGGAAAGTTGATGTGAGTTCGAGGCCAGTCTGGACTACATAGTGACATAGTGAGACTTCTTCTTCTCCTCCCCTCCCCCTTCCCCTCTCCTTCTTCGACTTACAATAAAAGGGTCGGCCAGATAGCTCAGCAAATTAAAGTGCCTGCTTAGGCGGATTGCAGCGGCTGGGGTTCGATCCCCAAGCGCCATGCCGGACCCACCCCCCCACCCCAGGCGCTCTGAGACAGTGACTGAGACTGGGCGCGGTGGCGTGCGCCTATAATTCCAGCGCTTGGGAGGCTGAACACAGAAGGATCACTATGAGTCCGATCTTGTAGTGAGACTGTGGACCCTGTTCTAAATACATAAAAAAAGACTATTGTCCAGACTCAGAATCTGCAAGCACTAGAATCCGAGAGGAAGGCCTTTTCTTTCTTTTTTTTTTTTAATCCATAAAGAGAAGCAGTCGGTTGGCGGTTGATAGGGGGGCTTATGGCACATTTTGTCTTGGGTACCACCTGCAGAGTGGTGTGGAGTCCAGAGGGGGCAGGGCTGGGGCCAGCACCCTCCCCTGCTCGTTCTGGGTGCTCCACCAGAAACAAGTAAGAGCGGGGCCCAGAGCGACTGCTCTGTCCCGAAGGCAGGGTCACACGGCAATGCACTTTTTCGATCCTCCCGCCTCAGCCTCCCAAGTGCCGGGATGGCTCAGTAGAATAAGCAGTTCCCTGGCAAACGCAAGGGCCTGAGTTCAATCCCCGGTTCTGCCAAAAAAACAACAACCAACCAACCAACAAAAAAAACCAAAAACATCTTTTTTTTTATCCATTCACCAGTTGATGGGCATTTGGAAAAAGAAGTAAATTCAGGGCTGGTGAGATGGCTCAGTGGTCTAAAGCACCTACTTGGAACAAGCTTAGAAAAGCACAGGGACTGTGGTTCAATCCCCCAGCACCACATGCCAGCCAGCCCTGCCTCCTGGTGGGCTGAGCTGGCCACACACACACACACACACACACACACACACACACACACACAAAAGTAAATAAATAATTTTTTAAAAAAAGAAGTAAATTCAGCTAACCCACGGGGTAGACTATTCATGTGATAGTCTGGATTTCAACAAAGTTTCTGAAGCAACACTATGCATAGACTAAGTTTAGCTTGGGTGCCATGGGTTTTTTTTGTTTTGTTTTTATGAGACAAGGTCTCACTCTGTAGTTCAGGCAAGACTTAAACTCCTTCTGTAGCCCAGGCTGGTCTGAATTCACAGTGATCTTCCTGCCTCAGCCTCCTGAGTGCTGGGATCACACGTGTGTGCCACCATGCACAGCTTGGGTGCCATTGGGTGGGGGGAATAAGTTCTGATGTTCTCCAGAACATTCTGACAACTATGGTTCACAATGACAGGCAGAAGGTTTTTTTTTGTTTTGTTTTGTTTTTTTGGTTTTTTGCTCCGAATACCTTCAGGGCAGGTTTGGCTGGCTTGAGCTGTGGGGACTGAACCACAGCAACCTGAGCCTGACTGCTTTTTTGAAGCAGCCACTTAAAGAACTGAGCTAAGGGGCAGGCCACCAATATGGTTGACAATGAAATGCTTCAAAACAGGATTGTGAATGTTCCCAAAACAAAGAAATCACAACTGTCCAGGGCGACTGATCTGCCGGTTACCTGGATGTGGTCATCACACCCTGCACCGTCTACGTATGGCGAGTGTACCTTGTGCTTCACGAATTACGTGCAGGTGGGTGCTATGTGCTAACAGAAGATGAAAATCTACTCAGCCAAGAATACATCTAGATCCAAAGCATGAGCATGTTCCCTGGGTTTCCATGACCACACAGGTAGCAGTGGGGTGCCTATTTGCATATATGAATATGGAACAGCCTACAGTGCATTTTCTGTCTTTTCATGGGAGCATCACAGATACCGCAGGCCCCGCAGTCCCTTTCACAGGCGAGAGTGAAGGAAAATGATGCTCCAGCCTGCATATCAGCTAAAACATGTCAGAGGGCCCCCTCGGCCTCAGGGCTCCGCTCTGCCAGCTGGGTTCCTGTTCCTTCTGGATGACGCCGCTCTGTCCAGCTCCCTCCTCTAACATGTGCTTGGCAGCTGTGCTGGGAAGTGGTTTCCCTGGAGGACAGGAATGCTGTCACTATGTGCTAAGGCTGTTTTCCTACTGGACTGAATTACCTACGAAGGAGTGTTCCTCAGCAGTGAGCTTGCTTCATGGGCCCCGCATGGCTGGGCTTTCATCAAGAGGGAATATGGCCAGGCGAGGTGGCACACGCCTGTAATCCAAGCCCTTGGGAGGCTGAGGCAGGAGGACTGCTGAGAATTCCGGGGCAGCCTGGACTATGTAAGTGAGTACAATACCAGTCTGAACTACAAAGTGAGACCCTGTCTAGGAAAAAGTTGAGTGTAAGATCTGCACCTGCAAATTTCTTTCTTTTCTTTTTTAACAGTAGCCACTGTTCAAGTTTATTTGGTATTGTAGTTGGTGTGACACTGGATTGCACTGTTCACAGGCAGATCTTTTTACATTATATGGCAATGTACACCCCATATATATATTACACAAAGTAAAATCCTTTAAGACACTTATGCCCAAGACATGCAGTACTGGACTTGCACACTGGCTCTCAGGCTGTGACCAACTGGGGAAAGGTCAGACAAGGCTTGGTGGCGAAGCTGCGTAACCGAGTGCCACACGTCTGTCTGAAGAGTAACTGGAGCCTGTGCAGTGAGCTGTCTCAGAGATGCCAGGCTACTTCATACTAACCAGGACTACAAGTGCAGCAGCATCCAGTATCAGGACAGAGCTGTGGGGTTTTTGCACCTGCAAATTTCAATGGGCATCTCATTGTTTGTGGGGTTTTTTTGTGGTTCTTTTAGATGAGTTGCAGCCGCTCTCTGGTACAAGGGCTCCCGAGGCCCTGGTGTCCTGCTGTCTACACCACCTATGAGGTATGGGGAGGGCTGGGTGGGACTTCCATGGGGCCTGCCATCAGCGTATACAGTAACACCACCGCTAAGTGGTTTGAGACAGGCTCTCACTATGCAGTTCAGGCCGGCCTTGAACTTAGTATGGAGCCTAGGCTGGCCCTGAACTGGCAGTTCTCCTTCCTCAGCCTCCTGCATGCTGGGATCACAGGTGCATGCCACCACACCCAGCAGTTTTGTTCTAAAGAACACAGCTCACAGGTGACCTCATGCCCCAGACTGACCCTGGGCTCTGCAGGACCCTGGCTGTCCTGTGGTGTCCCATCTTTGGTGTCACTCCAGGGGGAAGAACTCTGAAGTTCCCACCCATACCTGCATCCCCACCTATGAGGGGAGTGTCACCAAGCTGAAGGCAGCCATGACTCTGCTCAGAGGCCACATAAACATAAGGCCATGGGAAAGACCACAGGCCTCCACTGGCCTCCTACTCACAAAACGTGTTAAACCCATACATGTGAAATAAATGGTAAAGCTTGAGTTAACTGCTTTTAATGTAATGCAAGAGCTCATCTCGGAGAGAAGGCCTATAAAGGTAAGTGATGTCAGAAAGGTGGAAGGAAATGGACAAATAATACTCCACAAAACTCAAACCAGAAATCTTTATTTAGATCACCAAAAATGACATTTTTATAGAAAGGGAACCATGACATGACTCAGTGAAGTACAACTGGAAAAATCTCAAACAAGACAGAAAAGCTTTATCCGGTACCCAGAATAATGTCTCCTAGAGGGAACGATGAATGGATAGCTGCACATTTTCTTTTGTCATCGATACTGATTTCTCCTAAAACACTTTGGAATTTCTTGGTGGTTCCCACGTACAAACTAAATTGATGGCTTGGAGCCAGCCATTCAGCCTCATCACAGGAATGAAAGCGGTCGGCACCAATGTTCTGTTCAGCCAGGCGCGGTGAGGCGCATGTGTAATCCCAGCAGTAAGGAGGCTGTATCAAGAGGATCGTCCTGAGTCTGAGGCCACCCTGGGCTAGTGAGTGCAAGGCCAACCTCAACAGCAAGATCCAGTCTCAAAAAACAAATCTTTTTGTACTAACCAATTACTGAACAAAATGGCTCTCAGTAACAACTGCAATGTCTAA